AGTGACAATGTCAGCAGTGCCCTCTCTGTCTTAGGTATTGACGATGAACCCAGTGAAATGGTACTTAAAGGATGCAAAGAGCTTGTATGTTAGCTGTATAAAACAAAGAAGTCCTTACATACATAGGCAAAGGATGCAGGATGGTCTCACTTTCTGGCACTGAAGGCTAATCAGGGGACTGAAAAACTTCCACCAACACAAGGTGCCATTCATGAACATACACGAAGAGCACACCTGCAATGTAGGATTTGGCAGCAGGTTCTTGTTGCTAAATCACAGAAACTTAAAGCCACTGTGCTAGGTTGGTCACGTGAGCCAAATAATGAACTGATGCCAGTTCTGACAAGACTTCCTTCAGCATCAGAATCACTAGTTCAGTTAGTCAAAAGTGGCATGCCAATGTCATGGACGCTGCACGTGTAGACAGAACGATGTCAATTGCACTGAAATGTGCATGTGTGAAGCCAACTATGAAAATTGTAAAAACAATACACAAGTAACACAAGACTCTGACTCAGAATTTGCTTCAGAGACAGAAGAAGATTGACTAAATAAAGTGATATCATTACACAGCCATATACTTTTTATACTTTTATATGAAATAGTAACATACTATATTATTATGTTGTAATTCCAAAGGTACATGTACAGCCATTTTAAATTTTACAGCCATCTTAAATTATATAAAAAAAAATCTGTGGTATAACAGAAATTGGCATGCTTTAGAAAAAAGATCTATACAAAGATATATTAAAGACAAAACATGTGAAATAACTGCGCAATAGATGATTTTCACATGTCCTATTTCAAGATGGCCGACACTGTAACAAAATGGCTGAATCGCAATAACATTTGTATGTAATTTCATGATATAGAAAGTGATTTTAGTATGGTTGAAGTCAAGTGGTTTTACTATGGTAGACACAAATCTACTAACCTGAAATGGTCTATGATAGTTGGCTGATTAAATTTTGCAATAGTATCATACCTGGATATGGCAGCCATATTGAATTTGTATGGCCATTTTGAATTAAGCAGCCATCTTGAATTATTTTTATCCATGTGCATTAACCAAGAATTCATACAGCTTTGAGAAACATGGATTATTACAAATTATATTATACCAGTATAAACACAAAATTTGCATATGCAATCCATGGTATATTGGCTGATAATGCACGGCTAAACCAAATGGCCCTGGAACATGAATTGACTACAGGTTTAATACGGAAATACATAAAACCGGTATTATTTGATTTTTAGGGAAATATAGTGGTTGAATTTTAGAAGAATATTAAAAAAATACAGAATTAAAAACATCTGAAAAGTTATATAACTATAATATTGCTTTTTGTCAATGGTGGGATCCAAGTTGTGAGCGTCGGTCGTTGGGTTATTGTCGTTCGCCACACAAACCTAAACCACCGTCCCTTAACACCGTGAGGTGCCTACACGAACCCCAGAAAGCTATGTTCTCAGTGTTGTTACTTTGAGATGGATTGCGAACTTCCAACAAAAAAAACATAATCTTTAAGTACAACCGGCGTCTGGTAGCGGCAGCTGACAAAATTGTAGTGCACCCGGGTAATTGCCATCTGTTTCAAAAAACACGGGACAACGCAGGATTCGACGACGATATATGGTATTGTAATTCTTCACTATGAGTAAATAAATTACAGGAGATGATGAAGGTAATTTCGAAAGCTACAGATTTGTGCCGAGTGTACACCAACCACTGTATTAGAGTGACGGCGTGCAAAGTCTTTCGGCCGGAGTTGAGACAAGGCATATCATGTACGTGTCACAAAAACGATGCAAAAATCCGATCTTACACCATCAAACTTACCCCAGAACAACGACAAAACTTGTCAGTCATACTGTCACAAAACTTTGGTTATACCAAAGGTATCCAGGTCAGATGTTGGAACTGAGGTCGCTGTGCCGGTCGCCGTACATGATACGCCGCGTACCGCTGAACGTCATATATCCAAGTAGTATGATGAGTCACAAAACCGGTTTATTTCACAACTGTACTTTCAATGGGCAAATTACAGTCCAAATTGTACAAAAACCAGAATGAAAACGTGGAAAATCCGTTGTTTAAATGATCCAAACTATACACGACCCTGTATTTCAAATCGTGTTGTGCGTCAGTAAAAGGTCAGAATGGTCATCCTTTGTTATGCTAATTTGTGTGTTTACGCTGTTCTATTCAACGTGGATATGTAGTTTTTTTCATGTGGAATAAAAATTAGTTTGTATTCAATTTGAACTGTGTTGCGCATGTAATTTTTGGATGCATTCAGCATACAACTACATACTATTTTTATAAATATTCATGTTCAAGGGCCATAATCATGATCTTTTAGGAGATGAAAGTAAACTCTTTTTTTACAAGTTTTATCGAATTGTCAATATACTGGTATAATATAATAGCAATAACCCCCCGCCGAAGTTGGGTATACCACTTGATATTGCACAATTCACTCCATATATGCACTCGCCTGCGGCTCGTGTATATATGTCGTGAATTGTGCAATATCTCGTGGTATACCCGCCTTCGGTAGGGGTTATTGCTTAAGACAAGTAAAATGGAAATCAAATATGAAATTTCGAGGAAAATGTGGTTTTCGGGTGACATATTTCAAGATGGCCGCCAACATACTAAGATGGCCGCCAAAAAAATGTAAACCATATTTTTTTTTAAATGTTGCTATGTACTTAGTAAAATAAAATTGGTTTACAAGATTCTGCCAAAAAATTTCACAAAAATACACAAGGGTATGCACTATAACCGGCTAGTCAAACTTACATGAGCAGATAAGACCATAAAAAACAAACCGTAAATAATAATGTTGATCCCTTGCATAATTCTTACCCTGATCTCTTTATAGAAGGTTTAGTTTTCTTCTTTTTCTTCTTTTTCGTCGATTCATTGTCCCCTGACTCTAAATAACGTTTTAGATACTCTTCTTTACTGAGCGCAGCCATTTTAACTCCCACAATGCATTCTATTTCACCTTTGACCTTTAACACGAAGGATTTATTGTCGTCACCAGCGATTACACCTGGGGTATGTGATTTTCCTCCCCGCTGGCTACTGCTGATGGAGATAAACAAAGTAAGATTTTTTGTTTTCGTATCATTTCTCTGAGGGGTTCGCACATTACTATCAGCTAAAACGGCAACATACAAAGACTGCTGGAACATGTTGCACAATATTATCGTAATCGTAATTATTCGTAATTGTCAGAGCAAATAAACAACATGCACATCTGTCATCACGTCCACGATTTTACGACAAATTGATTTTCACCAAGTATCAGTGATTGAAGCAATAATGTAAAAGTTGACCTAACTGAGTACAGTTAGTGTCCCAGTACGCGAGCACAATACGCGACTGCTTTCTCCTCAACCTGGCGATCGTTGTAACCAGTCTGAGTACATCATTTCATGATTTAATTATTACACTCCTTGTTGATTCCTGTTCACGGTAAGGCGAAAATTTGTTTTTATTTTGGAAGCGATAATCAGAGTTTAGTGATCGCTTATTAGAACACCGTTTGTGGTAAACTGAGGATAAGTGCCCACATACTTCAGATTGAAGTTGGGCGATATCACAATATAGATATCTTAAATAGAACATGTCCTGTCTGTGACTCCAATGAAATTGAAGATGAAGCACACTTCCTCTTCAATTGTAATCTGTACAACATTAAAAGAGATGCTTTGTTTGAAAAATTTATCCGGTAATAATTTATTTTGATTTATTATGCTATATGTAGAATAGAATAGAATAGAATAGAATAGAATAGAATAGAATAGAATAGAATTCTTTATTAATACCGTAAAGATAATGTGACATTTCTTTTTTGGTTAACGAGTTAATAACGTTTTTACATAGTTGAGCGAACATAAAACTATCCGTGAATAGTAAGACAATTTACAATACGTAGGAATATGGCATATGTTGTTTATTTATGCCGGTAATGTATTTCTTATGTTGTAACACTCTTCGATGTACTTTATGGTTTCTTTGATTAGTGAAGTGTTCTTAATAATAATAATAATAATAACTTTATTGCATCCTTAGAAGTACAAATGTTCTATTGCTTTACAGCAATAAATATATAAGTGATTAAAATAATATCAAAGTATGATAACGTAAAAAAATAGAAAAAAAAAAAAAAGAGTCAAGGTATTATATCCAAAGAAAGCTCATTTCTTAAAATAAATGATTTATGTAAAAATAACCCTATAGGTTTTATTTTATTTCTGTCATTACCAGACTGGTACTTTTCATTAAATATGTGAATTTTTACAGGTTGGTAATGTATGTTATAGTCAAAATCCCGTAGTGGATACGATATCAATAAAGGTTATCTGTTACCGTAACGCCATAAGTTACAGCCTGTCGTCATTTTGCGGTATTGCAGTGGGTATTTTCATTTCATATTAGAAAATACAAATTCCAAATAAGGAGCGACTGCATGCATGAGCGTCCTTTAATAATAAAAACAAACATGCCGGCCCCCAGGGTTTGACCACACAAAGAAGTTTGATAAATCTGTTCATTAACCTTTTTGGATTTCGGCATTCCCATCATGTATCATTGGGAGGAAAAGATGTATAATAATAATAAGGTTACTACAATGATATCACAAAGTATGCACTCAGACAGTACGTCGTTGCATGTGCGCCGTTCGTTTCTCTCGGTGTACCGTATTCATGCATACTTTTTGGTATCGTAATAACCTCGTATTATTATTATTACTACTGGATCTGCTCTAAATTGGCCCATCCAAAAAATCACCCTGAGCAATTACACCGCTGGTGGGCTCTTATTTGGGGGTTCAAAATTTCAAAAAATGATCATCAAATATTTGGTTGGGACTTCTATTTTCATTGAAATCTCCACCTACATGTACACCGACTTTGGACCACCCAAGACGAAATAAACTAGTGCAGAAGCTAATCTAAAGCAAAGCATTCTATTGAAACGATTGATTCATTGTTCCCTGCATAATCTAGTTTTTACAACCGAAAAAGACCATACATGTATATTTTGATACTTTTATATATAGATTTAGAAGCTCAGCACAATTCTTTAGCCGGCAAATCTTTCTATAGTGGCATATTCAATGTTCTTTTATTTATTGGATAGCTTAAACCTAGTTGTAGTTGATGGATTGGTTTATTGTGCTTCTTTTATATTATATACAGTATACATATCATATTTTTCATTCACTTTTTCCGTTCAAAATAAAGTTGGCTTTATTGATTCATTCATTGCTATTCGAATGTTCGAGTAATTATTTTTGTTTTCAAGCATACAGTATATTTGGAGTGTATTTTACAATGCTGGTGACATCATGTCTCTATGAATAACATCCTGCAGTATCAATTCTTTAGCACTGCCAGGAATTGATTAGGGAGACTTTTTTTTGCCCTGAGGAGAATTTTTTCACAGGCGCCATTTTGTTTTTGATTTACTGAACTTAATCAAAGAGTTGTCAGCGGGTTTACCCTTTTATAGTAAGAAAACAGCATTCAACCATCATATTTTTTTTCATGTGAATAGATATGTACCGGTACATTTACTTTTTGGTGATGTGGTTAGTTTTTCTTTTGGATGTTCGTATTTTGATAAATCACAGTTCTGTTTGAAGTTTCATCATAAGGGAATGATTCCAGTCATATATGAATGCTTGATGCTGTAGGATATCTGCCATGTTTTTGGCCTGGGACGCAGTGGGGATTGGCACTGTCTGATCTGGATCAAGTCAGTCGTTCATAGGCCATTGTGGAAGCAACAACGTCCCTTTTAAAAACAGATGAAATAATTTCAGCAATTTCTTTACAGAACAAAACATCACATAGATAAATACATGTACAGGCTCTAAAATTATGTCTATTGCAAAACAATTCAACTGACAATCAGTTTGACACCACAATTTCTTGCTGAAGCCTGAGGTCAACGTTCATTTCAAACTGCGCTTGCACACACAGTGGATTCTCGAAATGCATACTAATTAGGTAACTTGCCACTAATAAAAGTTACTGAAAACATTTTGCACAATTTTTGAGCAATAGTACTAGAGTGAAATATCAATGTGCCTCTGCATTCTAGATATGGTAAAGAAAAAACCTGTGGTTACTTTCAACAGTTTGCTGGAGTCTAATAAAAAATGTGTCTCAAAAAACACTTTTACATCAGTTTTTTTGATTATTTTTAAGCCCGTAGCGATGGGATCAGTCAATTTAGAACTATCATTTGTGCTATTGGAAAGCATTTTGGCATAATTTTACTAAAAATAGTCTTTTCATTGCTCATGAATATTAATTTATGCAAATGATACAATTATTTCAACCAATCGTCTCATGCAACTCCCCCCTGCAGGGACGGTATTCTTTGACCTGATAGGTCAAATCACTAATTAACCAATTATAATGATGGATGATGCTAACAAATTACCTTAGCTCATTTAAATATGTTTGAACACAACACGGATAAAATTTGCTGATGTTGTAGTACATCTTTTGGCTTGGATTTTGATGGAAAAACGGCGTGTTTTTTTTAAATACAAAATAAGTTGTTTTCAAAAGATTTGAAGAATAATGTAACATTGGTTACAGTGATACATGTAACAGGTCATTGTTGAAACAAAGCTATTAACATAATGCTCTTAAATAGGCGTCAATGACTATGATAAAACTTAAATTGGATTCTATTTTAGGTGTCAGAAAAGATTGAAATAAAAATAACACCAAAATATTAAAAAAACATATTAAAAAGATGCCGAAAAATTGTCCTGGGCAATTTTTGTGTCCCATTTTATTTATTTTTTTAAAAACCCAAACTGCCGTTTAACGACCCAAAGCGAATTTAAGACAGAATCTTGTAGTAAATAAATAAAGGAGTTAAATGAATCTAAATTTGCCAGTATTGTTTGTGACAGGAAGTTAATTTGGAGATATTTGTGTCATTTGAAAGCTGTTTGGTTTTCGCTCATCTAAAAACTACTGAGTAAGTTGTAAAATTCTAATGTTTATGTTACTGCCACTCAGAGCACAAATAATTAGTTTTTGTAACAAAAAAAACAACATTAAAATTAATCAATATAAGTTTGTATTAGACCGTATTATCTGATCACACTGTATATGAGTGATTAAAATCAATTTTAGGTGGAAATTACATAAATTTGGCAGACCTGCATTCAGAAAAGGTGGATGTGAAAACTATGGCAAAAGTTTATTTTGCGAATTGTGTTTTCATGCAGTATAATAAGATAAATGTCATTTACATATTTGGGTTGACATATATCTGATTACAATCTTGGCCACATAATGTGTAAATACAACGTAAAATAATTTTCACATTTTCAATTTTTCAGGTAACCATAGTTATGGCAACAGTTGCAGATTGCAGCTTACCACTGGATAAGCAGTTTATCCCTCTGAGTGGTGGAAAAGATGGTAGAAAAGAGACAATAGAAGCTTTGGTATGTACTCTCTTACAAGCACGCATTGTAAGCTCTGCTTTCAACAAACTAAGTAGTCTTAGTCTTAGCTGATAGCATTCCACAGATCTGCTCTTTGATTGCAGAAATGTAATTAGTCCCTGTTTGGATATAGTCCGAAAACAGGGACTTATGTTTTGACCTTTGAGCATCTGTGCGTTTGTCCATGCGTCTGTGCGTCCGTCCGAACCTTCATCTTAGATATGCCTAGACCAATCACAATCAAACTTCACACATACATCATACATAATATTATACATAAATGCACGTCAATTTGTTTCAAGATCTGATTCAAGATTGCCGAATGATGTCCACTTTTGTGCTAAAATGTCATCAAAATCAAGCATTTATGGATGGATTTTGTTAAAACTTTGTACATACATTGGACATTGAATACCTTGATGCACATCATTTTATTTTTCAGATCCAATTTAAAATGGCTGACTGGCGGCCATTTTGTTTTAATGATTGCACTTCCAGTGCAATATCTCTGCCATACTTTGACTGATTATGTTCAAATTTTATATATTCATTGTACATCATGACATTGATATATTGGTTTGATTATCTGATTCAAAATGGCCAAATGGCAGCCCATCAAAAATCAAGCATTTCTGACATTCCAGAACTGGATCTTGGCGTTTATGGATGGATTTTAGTCAAACTTGATACATACATTGGACATTATGGAACCTTGATGCACGTCATTTTATTTTTCAGATCAAATTCAACATGGCTGACTGGGGGACATTTAGTGTAAATGAATGTGCTTCTCGAGCCATATCTTTGATATGCTTTGACTGATTATGTTCAAATTATATATATTTGTTTTACATCATGTTATAGATATTTAGATGTATTTAAAATGGCCGACTGGTGGCCATTTTGTTTTAATTAATGCTTTTCCGGAGCAATTAAAATCATTATAATCAAGCATCATCTTCTGGATCCATACTTCTGACATGTTTATGTTCCAACTATATTACTATAAACAGAACTGTATATCTTAAATTTGATAACTAACAGGGACTATGCCAAGCATTGCTTGTTAATATGTTGTTTTCTTACAGTGTACTAAGTAATCTGCTATTAATAATCTAGTCCTAAATAGTCCTAAATTTTGTTTACTTCTAGCATCTTCAGCAGTCTGCTATTTACTTGCAAAATCCTAAGTGGTCTGCTGTTTACTTACATCATACCTGCAGATCTGCTCTTTAATGTATCCTAGGTGGGCCACTATTACCTGCAACATCCTGAGTGGTCTGCTGTTTTTTCACAGTATCCTAAGTGGTCTGCTTTTTAATTACAGCATCCTAAGTGGTCTGAACAAATCAACTTTATGAAGTATTCAGTGCCACCTGATGAAATAAATGATGTGGCATCATTGGAGGAATGGATTTTTCTGCTAACAAACATTAAAGGAGATTTACATTGGTTACTTCAACAACCACACCAACAGTTTTGGTGCCAGGTAAAGTTAATTAATAGGAAAACTTAAGCAATATGTCACCAATCTGAATGTACAATGTCACCAGTCTGAATGTACAATGTTACCAGTCTGAATGTACAATGTCACCAGTCTGAATGTACAATGTCACCAGTCTGAATGTACAATGTCAATGGTCTGAATGTACAATGTTTATGGTCTGAATGTACAATGTCAATGGTCTGAATGTACAATGTTTATGGTCTGAATGTACAATGTCACCAGTCTGAATGTACAATGTCACCAGTCTGAATGTACAATGTCACCAGTCTGAATGTACAATGTCAATGAACCAAATGTACAATATCACCAATCTGAATGTACAATGTCAATGGTCTGAATGTACAATGTCACCAGTCTGAATGTACAATATCACCAGTCTGAATGTACAATGTCAATGGTCTGAATGTACAATGTCAATGGTCTGAGTGTACAATGTCAATGGTCTGAAT